CAAGTTTTAAAAGAAAAGGAGATTAATGCTCTCCCGTGGCAGTGTTTGTATTTCTCATTGCCTTCCTGCATGTGATATTTTTAAAAGAAACATTACACACAGGAGCCCCCAGGCGAAGGTACCAGGGAAACAATGCCAGCTTGGAAATCCGGAGGAGATTCTGTTTCTCATTATGTGAGTGAGAGGTCATTACTTGAATGTTTCTTTTTCTCTCGTTTTTTTTTTTTTTCTTTAAATCTACAACCTCTTGATCTCTAGCCTTCCAGCACGTCCATGGTCATTATTCTTTGGGTGTTTAAAAATTAGGAAAGTAGAGAAGAGCCAACCAGACTCCCATATCCCTGACTAGCTAATGGAAAGATCTGTTGCACCATTCACACAGATCCACAATTTCATAAATCACGTATTTGCCTGTGTGGTTGTAAAGAGAACGAGAGAAATAGTATGAATTCTTCCTCTCTAGTTCTTCTACTCAAGCAAGGATTTGCTGGGCAAAATGATGTCTTCAGGGACTTTGCTAAGTGGCAGTGGAGTATGAAAAACCAACATCTGCCTATTGTTAAGGGGTGAGATTGCGAAATGAGGAATCGTACAGTTGAAATCTGGGGCATTTGCGTAGTTACTCTGGAAGTGTGGAAAATGTAAAATTGTACCAAGGTAATTATATCTACTTGGTCTCCATCTCCAAAAGAAAGGCTTTGAGAAGAAATAGAGAAGGCTATTCGTCAGTCATGAACGTTTTCTCCCATTATCTACTTTCTCATAAATGAAAAGGGCCTTGGTAAATTTGTTTAAATTTTAAATGTAAATGCCCATGAAGAATACATTCATGATGTAAAACCTGTATTTTTAAAAAGCTTTATTTATAGAGGGTGGCTGTGTTCATTAGTGGTTGGAAGAAGACTGGAGAAAAAGGAAGAACCAATTATTGGCTAATCTTTGTAATTAGGAGTCCTCTCTCCTGTATCTTTTGCATGTCTCTCTGGAAATGGGCTTAATGAGCTTACTCAGATTCTGGGAGACTCTTGGGGCCCTGAAAAGTCACAAGGACTGTCAGCTTTGACTGCAGAGAATGGGATTTAAAAGCCTTCCTCTCTCCTTCTCTCTCACTTCCTAATGGCTGTTACTGTTTAGTTTATTATTACTGTGGACAGATACTTTCACATTCATAACCCTGATGGAATTTGAGGTTTCAAAGAACTTTTCCTCAGTGAGTTGGCAAGTAAAATTCATTTCTTGGCAATTTTTAAAGGCTATTTAATTAATCTGACTTCAGCCACAGTGTATTTTGAAAATTCTTGACATAGTCTAGTTTTTAGTAAAGGAACATGGTAAATTCAGAAATCTCAGTTATTCTGATCATTCCCGTTACAGGTGTGTAGCAATTAGAGTGACGTCAAAGAGTACCCATGTGGGCTGGAAAATCCCAAGATTATTGAGGGAGGGAGTTCCTATACATTTCTCTTTGAGCAAGATTCTGCAGAGTCATGACTGCCAGTTCATGTACACACACACGTGTACACGGTACGTGTCTATGCATGTATGTACACACAGGGATTAATCTTTGGGAATGCTGGGCAGGGTGCCTCACACTTTAAATCAGCACTTTGGGAAGTCAAGATGGGGAGATGGCGTGAGCCCAGCAGTTTGAGACTAGCCTGGGTAACATGAGGAGACTCTGACGCTACCAAAAAAAAAAAAGAAAAAAAAAAAAAAGAAAATTAACCTGGTGTGGTGGCAAGTGTTGGTGGTCCTAGCTACTCAAGAGGCTGAGGCAGGAGGATTACTTGAGCCTAGGAGGTAGAGGCTGTGTGAGCTGTGATTGTGCCACTGCCCTCTAGCCTGGACAACAGAGTGAGACCCTGTCGCAAAAAAAAAAAAAAAAAAAATCTATGAAGACACTAGAACAAAAGAACTTGCCATGTTTCCACGTGACCAACCTAAAGCAATGACCATGTTATCCTATAGTTAGTATAGTTAATGTTTTGATAATATTAAACAGTAGAGATACATTATTTCACTAACCTTATTAAATATTTTTTTTCCCTGAGTGGGCTCCATGTACTGTTTTGGATGTTAAAGAGCATCATTCCTCCAAGCCCACCTTGTCTGAGTTTATATAACCCTGCTCAAGGGTCTTCTCTAAGAGGTGAGCCTAAGCCTTGTTCTTCTCTCCCAATAATGTGCTGGACATTATTTCTTTAGTAAGTTCCATCAGGGTAGAACTCCCAGTGATGAAACAGTATCTGCCATCTCTTAAGTTATTAATAATAAATACTTGTTGGATGAATGAATGAATGCTATCATATTCTTTTTTATGTTCCACTCTTCCATCCTACCTTACTATATAACATTACTCTTATTTGATTAGAGTTTCTTTGGAGTAAGGATATTGTATTTGTTCACTCAGAACTTGTCATAAAACTTGGCATAGAGTAAATGGTCAATAAATCATTGTTAAAGGTTTTTTTTTTTTTTTTTTTGATGGAGTCTCGCTCTTTTGCCAGGCTGGAGTGCAGTGGCGCGAACTCGGCTCACTGCAACCTCTGCCTCTCGAGTTCAAGTGATTCTCCTGCCTCAGCCTCCCAAGTAGCTGGGACTACAGGTGCACGCCACCACGCCCAGGTGATTTTTTGTATTTTTAGTAGAGACGAGGTTTCACAACATTGGCCAGGATGGTCTCAATCTCTTGAACTCGTGATCTGCCTGCCTCAGCCTCCCAAAGTGCTGGGATTACAGGTGTGAGCCACTGCACCTGGCCTGTTAAAGGTTTTTAAAAACATAATTGGTACTTCTTGGGCATCCTTTGTATGTGAAGAATGTTGCCACTTCTACTCACAATCATATGTTGATCATCCCATGGGGCAGGATAAAATTTGGATATACTGATCTCATCAGAGTAAAATACAGTGGTTGAAGGGCTGCAAAGACAAACATTCTGCAACACAGGAATGACTGGTTTGGAAATATTTAGGTCAAGAATTTTTAAAAATGACCCTTCAAGGCTTTCCTGTGACACCTGGATGATGCTGATTGCTTATACTTGAGTAATAATCTAGAGCTCGAAGGCTGCCTTCCTGAGTAGTCTATGTGATCAGCATCTGAGATGCAGGCACTTCCTGGGACAGCTCTGCAGGAGATGCCACAACTGTTCTGTTGACATGCAGGGATAGTGCCTTGTCCTGTTCCCAAATGGAGATGTTTTTGCATCCTGTGTGGTTTAAAATGCAAACTGATCTACTAACTTGAGAGGGTAAAAAGGATCCTACAAGATGGACCTGTGACTTTAGGAGATAATGATGCTCTCAAAGCAAAAAGGAGGAATAATCATATCCTGGGTGATTCCTGGATGTGGTGCCCGCAGTCCAAGTGTCTATGAGAGTATTTCTTATTTTGGGTAAATGTCTTTTGCCCACCTGGTGGTCATCTGAATGAGACTTGCCCGAGTTGCTCTTTAGCAAAGTGGAGCTGTGTTTAGGCAAGTCTTGGTGATAGCATGGACATCGACTGTGGACAAATGATGACGGGCACTCCTCCTACCCCCACACCCCTCCCTGCTGCAGAAGGACGGCTTCTGGTGTAAAGACCAAAAAGCAGAAAAGCAAGATAAAAACTAATTTTGTGTTACAGATTTTCAGCGTGAACCTTCTCACTGCAACATTTACCTAGTCTTTCAATATTCTTTCTCCCTGTTCCACTGTCTATTCAGCATTTCTTCCAATTAGCTTCTCTCTAATCATGATTGCCAGCTATTGAACAAACGCACTACTTTTGGTGACTTCCTTCTGATAATTTAGATACAATAAGCACTTTTATTATATTACTTTTCCCTTGAAAATACTCAATCCTTTCTCTTCATTTTGTATGCTCTAGATATCAAGCTTCCTGAAAACTTTTTCTAATGAAGTCTGAACAAATGTCAATTTAAGAAGTCATGAACCTCAAGGGTGAATGCATTTTAGTTACTTCTAGACTTATTCCAGGATCTTGACAAGAATGGCATGGGACATCCTCAAATTAATGTTGCAAGGTATTTAAGGGTCCCATTGGTTTATGTGAGAGTTGTTTAAGCAGCTAACACAGGATGAGAAGGTCAAAGACAAATAGAGTTAAAATTAGTATCTCTTAACACCTTTTTACTTGCTAAGAATGAAGTTTTCCATTCATCTATCAGTACTTGCTTTTTGCCATATTGATTTCTCAGGTGGAAAGGTTTGGGTGGGGAAGAAGGGATTTGGCATTTCACTTTTTCTAACTAACTTAGATCAGGTTTCCATCTTCTCCTTTCAGGTTCTGTTAGGATGGTGCAAAAGCAATTGCAATTTTGCTGTTAAAAGTAATGGCAAAAATAATTACTTTTGCACCGATCTAATAGTACTCTAAGACACTTAAAAAAATTATAACAAGGAATGGTCAGCATAATTTTGAAGTTTCCTCCAATGTTTATAACCAGTGCCAAGGTAAATCTATTCATGTCCTTAGCTATTCATAATTCTGAAATCCCAGCTCTGAACAAAATAGAAGTTTTTTTTGTTATTTATGGTATAAATGAATTTCCTGACAAAACCGGATCTCAACTGATGCAAGGCTATTTATAGTCTATAATAATCTCATGTCATGTGACTATTCAGATCTATTGCTGAAGAAATATTAATATGACTGGTTAAGGGTGATGTCCCAGTGGCTGAGGTAGGTATTACAAAATCCACCATAGATAAATTTTGTATTTGTTGGAGACAGAGTCTCACAGGGTTTGGGTTAAGGAATTGAAGACCCGAACTATACTGTGAAAGTAATGTTTTTTCACTTACCTGCCAATTTTAAGCCAAAATCATTGGTCCAAAGGAGATGAGAAAACCATCGATGTATCTTCAAGCAGGCAACAGTGGCAATGACCTGGCTTGCTCTGTCCTTCAAAGAAAGTTTTCTGCATACTTTTGAGTACCCCCCAACCAAACAGCACTCTCCTCTGGCAAGGTTATTAAAAATGAAGCCGAGGCTGATTAAGAACATATTGCTTTATTTCTTGGTGGTAGTAATTTAAGGCTTTCTAGATTCATACAGCACGCAGTGATTTGAACATTAGAATTTAAAAACAAAAAAACAAAAAAACAATGAGCATTCAATTTAGCAGAGCCAGGAAGGAAGCAATGTTTTAAAACAGATAAATTTCCCAGTGAGGCCTTTGGTTTGGTCTCTAAAAATCTGCTGAGCTCTTTCCCCAGTAACCTCCACCATAGATTCCCACCCCAAGGGAGAACAGAATGCATGAAGAGGAGACCGGGAGAAAAGGAGAAACTGGCAAGACAGTATGTGTTGGGCAATCAGTGTGAACAGTCAACTTTGTCTCATGCTTGGAAGACAGTTTAGGTGATGTGGTCAGGGGTTCATTACCTGGATCTGCCTGCTTATTCTTGGAGTATTAAACTAGCTCACTCGGAAAACCCCAGGGCCAAGGATTAGGGACAATCCTTTGTGACACCCAAATCCTGAAACTTCAAATAGGGTCACAAGTCACAGAGCTGAAGAATGCTACCTTCAACTTCTTTCATGGTTCTAAACTCTGTGGCTGTCACTAGATCCTGGCCTAGCTAAATGACTCATTTCCCCCATGGCACAGAGTCTTAATTACACATGTAAGTTGATGATGTTAATTGGATGGGAGGCCATGATGTATGAAAGAAACCTCCTGGGCAGACGCCACCTCATCACACTAACCTCTCCATCCCCCACAGAAGACGCCAGTACGCACAGGAGCCTACAGTAGGAGTGCAGTTGTCAAGGGTGTCTTAGTTTGACAAATTCAGCATAACTGGCTTGGAGATGCAAAGGTTCTGTGTTTGGATAACGGGTACTTTGAGAAGGAAATAAATGAGGGATTTCAACAGTAATGAAGGCGGGGCTTGGCTAGAGAATAATTTGGAAAAGGCCCTGTGTTAATTAACAAAAGACAAGTGAATTTCGTGAAAACGAGCAATGAAATTTCTTCTGGCTATCTGACTTCAGGCAAACGAGGCTAGAATATAGACTTCTATCCAAATAAGATAATTTGAAATTTCATCCATTTAAAATTCATACCTTGTAATGATTTCAATATTCCATTCCAAGGGTCTGGTTGGTGGACCAGAGTCTAAGTCATCTCAGTGTGTTCCCTCTTCCATTCATCTGGCATTTTTGAGTGAACAGAATTTAAACACCTGGAAATCTGCTTTGCATTCTTTGATGGAAAACACGCAGACAGCCACGGAGGAGGCACACAGGGTGGCAAGTTGCACAATTAAACACTTACAAACTTAACCCCAATAGGCTTCATGTGATGAAGTCTGGATGTATAAAGAAATAAATAGATGAGAAGAGGCCAAATGCAATCTGAATGACAAAGAACCGAGGCATCTGTCTCTGCCAGCTGTAGGACAGATGTGCCTGAAGCATGCCAGGTGTGCAAGGCGAGGGTTTAGAAAAACTTTTGAAGATATGTGTTCCCTTGGGCCTTGCCTGTTAATTAGAAATTGTGAGGGCCTTTACTCCTATTTGAAAACGCTGAGTAAAAGCAACTGAGGGGGGATCTGGGCTTTGCTGTGATTAGGCGTGCTGGTGCCTGGCTAGGATGCTGTGGAGGGGGGAATGCAGAAAGTATTTGTGTACAGAAACGACACCATCCAGCCTGGCAAAAGAGGATGTGAAGAGGTGGGAGAGGAAATTCTCCCACTGAAACACACAGGGAAGTGGGTGATTTGCAGCCAAAGGACATACAGGACCCTTTGTGCACTGATGCTGGCCCTGCACAATCTCCTGAAATCACGCCCATCCACAGAATCAATTCTCCTAGAAGAGGAAGATGCCTAGGTGCTTCTATGCCAAGGTGGTTCTGTGTATGGGTGTCTCTGTTCCCTCAATGCTATAATGGACATGAAGCTAATCTTTGGGCTGTGTGGCCTCTGACTCGGTGCTGGAAGCTGCAGCCCAGAGCAGTGAATTGCTTTGGCCAAGGTCACAGTCATTGGCAGAGCTGGGGGAAGACTGCATGTCTTTCCCCAGCTGTTTGCTGTAATGAATTTTTTAAAAAGACCTGAAAAGTATTTTGCGTATGCAAAGTGCTATGATATTGAGTTGACCAGAATGCCCATGGTTGTGGGATTGAAGAGGGTGACTTATGTCAATGAAGCAGTTTAGAAAGGAGGTCTGGAGAGCACTGTGATTCTGATGATGGGTCCTGGCTGCTGCTCTAGGAAGGGAGGGTGTGGCCTTACAGGGGGGTGTGGAACTGTGGGGGTGTGGCCTGTGTGTGAGGGACAAGGCGGCCTCCGGGGCCTGAGCGGCAGAGAGTAAGCGCCTTGCTCAAGGAACTGCGATCAGCCTGCTGAAGTACATCTTTCGTGAGAAGAGAAACTTCCTACAAATGGCCTGACCAAAATGCCTGTTCGCTGTTTGCCTTGCTTCGTTTCTTTGGCCTCTGTTGCCCATGAGAAATGAGGAAAAATAAAGGCCAGATTCCTAATAACCTTCCTGGAAGAAAGAGCTGTTATGAGTCGGTGTCGGTGCTTACATAAGCTGCTTTTAAAAAACATTTGCTTTGTTCAGGTTTGTGTGAATACAACGCCGGGTGAACTCTGTCCCTTCAGAAGAAAGCCGGGTTGGTGTGCTCGATGACACAGCGCTTGCAGTGGCGTTTGACAAAGCGCAGGGCCTCCACGGAGACCTCGCAGTCCTGGACATTCAGCGTCTGGAGGTCAAAGCAGTTGGCGGCCACGATCTGCAAGCCCTGGCCGGTGATGCTCTCGCAGGACTTGAGGCTGAGCCGCTTGAGGTTGAAGCAGTTCAGGGCCAGGCACTCCAGGCCCGTGTCGGATACCAAAGGGCATTTGCCGATATCCAGGGACTTGAGTTTGGTGCAGTTCTTGGCGAGGTACTCCACGCCGTGGTCCGTGATGCCCTCGCAGCCCCTCGCGTTGAGGTAGCGCAGCTTGCTGCAGTACTTGGCCACGTAGCGGATGCCCACGTCTGTGACCCGCCCGCAGTGCGCGATGCTCAGGTACCGCAGGCGGGACTCCAGTTTGGCGATCTCCCGCAGGCCGAAGTCGCTGACGAAGCGGCAGTCGCTGACGCTCAGCTCCTTGATAGAGGCGCAGTAGATCACCAGGTAGCGCAGTCCCTCGTCGGTCAGGCGGACGCAGCGGCGCAGGTAGAGGTGGGTGAGCTGCGTGCAGTGTGCCGCGATGGTGTGCAGGCCTTCGTCCTCCAGCACGAAGCAGTCCGTCATGTCCAGGTAGCGGATAGATATCTGTTTGCCATGTAAGGGGGACAGTTTAATGGAGGCCTCCCGGGTCAAGCTGATGCAGGTCACTTTGGAGCACCCTGCACAAAGAGACAGAACACAGGCTCAGAGCAACCTGCGAGCAGGGGAGCCACGCCCGGGGATTCCCTGGGGGATTCCTGACCCTCGCCCAAGTCTGGGTCCGAGGCTGACGTTACCCCTTCCTGTCTTGGTCCCTGAGAGAAGAAAAGCAAGAATGGGTTCCCCATATTTATCTGATTATTTAACTACATTATTTCTATTATCTGGGCTTAAGGGAATTGGATCAGAAAAACCACGGTTCCAATTTTCCAATTCCTGATCTGTCATCTGTCCCTACTTGCCTGATATTTAGCAAATCAATCCTTCTGAGTATTTCCTTTGTCTTAAAATAGGGAGGATCACATTCCCTGGGAGGCAGCTGGGATGGAGAAATGAGAGGATGTGTGTAAATATCTTGCCTTGGCCCTGGAAAGTTCCAGGAGCTCAGTAAAAGTGAGTTCTTGCACTGCCGTGGTTTGGAAGCTCCCTGGTCCAAAGTGAGGTATCAAAGACAAAGCTCGGGCATGTACCTTGGTTTAGCAGAAAGAGCACTGGGTTGGGAGTCACACCTGGTTCAGGCAGGAGGCTTAACGTTGCTGCTTCTCAGAACTGTCCTTTATGCAATGGGAATGAATAGGTGGTGAGCCGACATTTCAGATATAATGAGGATGCAACGAGAGAACAGATATGCATGTGCTCTGAAAACGCTATGGGAAGTGAATATATTAGTCTAGCGAGGTGACCTTCTGTCAACTGAACAGACCTTCCGAGTCAATTCAACCCTCTTTAGCTGAGGAAGAACAACTGTGTTATCTGGATTGTTGCTGTAGCCCTTGAACCAGACTCCCTTCCCTGCCCTTAGCTCCTACAGTCAATTCCCCACACCCCTGCCTGCCAGAGGCATCTTGGAAAACGGAACTGGAAGCTTGCCCCTGTGCAAAGCCTCAGGATGGCGCCCGTTCACTCCAAGTGTCCTTGAACCAGACTCCCTCCCCTGCCCTTAGCTCCTACAGCCAATTCCCCACACCCCTATCTGCCAGAGGCATCTTGGAAAACGGAACTGGAAGCTTGCCCCTGTGCAAAGCCTCGGGATGGCGCCCGTTCACTCCAAGTGTCCTTGAACCAGACTTCCTCCCCTGTCCTTAGCTCCTACAGTCAATTCCCCGCACCCCTATCTGCTAGAGGCGTCTTGGAAAATGGAACTCGAAGCTTGCCCCTGTGCAAAGCCTCGGGATGGCGCCCGTTCACTCCAAGTGTAAAATCCAGAGTCTAACAGGGCTCCCAAGGATCTGCATCCCGGGGCTCTCTGACGGCATCTTTTACCTCATTCTTCCAGCCTCACTGGCCTGCTTGCCATTTCCCGGACACCGCAAATGCTCTCCAGCCTCTGAACACTAGAAATGGCTTCCCTCAGCCCTCCCCACTTCCCTAGGTCTCAGAGCCAATCTCAGTGTATTGAAAAATTTGTCCCCAACCATGCTTGTATAAACTAGCATCCCCTGCTTCCCTTCCCTTTATTTTCAGGAGTCTTTAACCCTGGGTGGCATTATATATTTATTTATTCACTTATTTATTTGCTGTCTTCTCACTTTGGAATGTAAGTTTTGAGAAAAGGGACTTGGGGCTGTTCACTGCTGTCTCTTTCATTCCTGGTTCATAGCTGGTGCTAAGTATCTGCTGAATGAATGAGCGGTTTATAGAGGGAAAAGAGTCTTCCATAAGAGGATCAGATGAGATCATCCAGCTTCCAACATTTAAGTGTCTTCAGGACTTTGACCTTGGCTGAAGTATACCTACATTGAAAAACAGTTGTCTGTTTTATAGTTAATGATAATGTGTCTTATTTGTATTGAAACACGAAGTTCACAAAGGGCTTTTATAAACATTTTCTTACCTGATTGTTAGAACAATATTAATGCTCAGGAAGGTATCTTTAGATGCCTCTCTAAACATCGTTTCTAATCTCCTAAAAAATATGTGTGCATAAGTTATATATGTACATACTATATGTTATAATTTATATATTTATATATAATAAATGAAACTCATTTCATGGTATATTTAAGTTCTCTATACATTACTTTATAAAAACATGTACAGTATATTTATAGTATATTAATATAACTAATAGCCACAGTCTATAAATATTAGGTTAGTGTAAAAGTAACTGCGATTTTTGCAACTAAAATGGCAAAAACCGACTGGGTGTGTTGGCTAATGCCTGTAATCCCAGCACTCTAGGAGGCCCAGGCGGGTGGATTGCTTGATCCCAGGAGTTCAAGACCAGCCTGGGCCACATGGCAAAACCCTGTCTCTACTGAAAACACAAAAATTAGATGGGCATGGTGGTGCGTGCCTATAATCCCAGCTACTCAGGAGGCTGAGGCATGAGAATTGCTTGAACTTGAGAGGCGGAGGTTGCAGAAACCAAGATCGCACCACTGCACTCCAGCCTTGGTGACAGAGCAAGACTTGATCTCAAAATAAATAAATAAATAAAAGACAAAAACTGCGATTACTTTTGTACCAACCTAATATTTTATAAATAAATGTATATTTTTATGTATTTCATTCGACTACCGAGGCTGTATATATATTTTTCATTTTCTCTCTGCTCTTCTCAAATCTCTTGGGCAGTTCTACAGCTAGGTGCCTCATTTCCGACACTTCTGCACCTTGGCTGTTTCACGCAATATCCAAGGCTTCCCAGCAGCCTCATAATAGTGCTAACAAGGACCTTCCTCCGACCTCCTGGTAGGCTGCCCAGGAAACTCTTAGGCACTCAGGTCCCGGGAATAATGAGGTTCAAAAGCCACGTGCTACCAAGTCAAAGAATTTCAGGAAGGAGTGAAGCACACACTCCAAAAACGGAGAAGAAAAACAGCTTGTCAGAGGCAGGTCACACTGTTCCAGTGGGCTTTGTGGTTTTGCAAAAGGTCCCTTTTAGCTTTGCAATTTCCCTTTGTTTGGAGTTTCTTTTTGGGGCTGACTGTAATCCTGCTTGCACTGAATTTGTTTGTCTATAGTAGTGATTGGCCATCTGTGACACCCGTAAAGCCACTTTGTTTTTCAAGATCATATGATAACCTTCGCTCCTAAACTTTTGGTTCTAGTTTCCTTTCTTTAAAAACAAGATTAGCAAAATCTGCTACACTCCAGGGAAGATAATATATTCGGTCCAGGAAAATGTATACTTTGCTTTTGAAACTGAATTCCAAATTTAATGAAATACTTGTTCAGTTCAGTTTTGGTAAAGAGACTATTTTATAGGCTTGTATTATTTTAGATCAATAATTTTAGATTTTAAATTTTGCCCAAACTCTTACAGATTTGCTAGGTTTGTGTTGAAAAGAAAGTAAATTGGTTCATGGCTCAGCAGGTATTATTTATGATTAGTTCACACATTCAAACATTATAGACATGGAGAGAACCTTAGAAATCATCCAAAATAAACATCATTTTTTAAAGATGAAGCATCACAGGCTCAGTGAGATTATATGACTTGTACAACCAGACTACAGATAAGTTTCTTGACTCCTCATTCCAAGACTCCAATTTAGAAAGGGAGGTAAGAAATGACTATGACGTATCATAGAGTTGATAAATTACACAAGAGATATACAGTAGAAAATGAAGTGAACATTCAGACACTGGGCACCCAGGGGTCTTTGGAAACTTAGAAGCCACCACAGCATGATTTCCAAAGGGGTCCTTGAAAGAGAGAAATAATTTGGATGCATAGATGTGGAGTGAAAAACAATTTGTATATACATTAATAGATATGGGGTCCAGGTAGTAATATAATAGACAAATTCCAGAGAAAAGAAAGCAAGGGGCAAGTCCATGGGCGGTTAGGGTATCCATGAGGTGAAACTTAGGGTGTCTGAAAGGATTTAATCAAAACCAAGGCAAGAATCGTCTCTTGGGATGAGATCAGGGGCCTACTTTGACATCTAGGGTAAGGTATATAAATATTATTCAATAGGGAATAGATAACATAGGTTGAACAAATCTGTGCGGTTTCTTCAATTAATCCCAGATTTCATTTAGCTTTCACAAATATGCTCTTTATTACCACTTCCTCTCATTATTAGGGTGATATCTCTACCTCTTCTGGGGTGTAAGATGGTTAAATCAATGAAGAACAACTACTGACTTCCAGGCACGTTAATAACAAGGACAATACAACAATGACAATGACAGCTGTGATTTACTGAGTGCCTACTACATGGTTCTCATCAGAGCATGTGTTTGAGAACTTAACAAGTCTTAACTCACTTAATCCTCCCAACCACCTCATTTTTACTGATGAGGAATTTTTAACTGTTGCACTACAGCTTCCTAAATGCATGATTACAGTATTAACCAAAGGGAACTTTAAACCTTTTAGAGGCCAAAATGACCATTTAAAACTTTGAGACGACTCTGTTCACTTAATTACAATGTCATAAAAGTGCAGAAATGAAATATGACATATTTCCGCCCTTATAAAGCTCAAAGCTCATCATGAGTTGAGAATTGCAAGTCCATCAATGCTCTAGCTTTCTGTACCCAAAAGGCAGACACCCAGAAAAAAAACCCTTAGCTCACTGGGGGCGAGGCAGGGAAGGCTACATTCAGGGGATGCCTGACTGGAGGTTAAGCAATGAAAAGTCTGCTCAGAGAGTTCTCAAGGGAGGGGCAGTAGGCAGGGGAGGAAGAGGCGCACAAGCCAGACAGGCATGCACACATCACTGTATGTAGAGACAGGATGTGTTTGGGGACATGCATATAAGATGGTTCTACAGAAGGGATCATTGAGTGTATGCAGGAAAGAGATGAAATTTGCACCTAAGAAGAGCATCTTATGAAGGCTGTTACATGCTCTGTGGAGGAACTTGAATTTTTCCTGTAGGTCATAGGGAGCAATTATTGGAGGTTTCATGCAGGACAGCGAATGGTTAGACTTGTAGTTTGAAACAATTCCTCTGGAGGCAATGGAGATGGGTATAAGAAGGAATGGTTGGGGAAGCCTGCATCCAGGCAGGCAGACAGAGATGGACTCAAGGCACTGGGGAAATAGAGTCACCCGAACAGGATTCTACTGGTTGGGTAGGATTAGGAGGAGAAACTAGGATGATTCCAGGTCTCCAGTTAGAAAGGTTCTTTCTGAAGCAATATTATTTTTAACACTTACGACATTTTATATTTGGAAAATTGGTTGAACAAACCTATGGGGCTTCTTCAGTTAATTCCAGATTTCATACAGCTTTCACAAATACGTTCTTTATTATCAGTTCCTCTTGTTATTGCAATATATTCATCAATATAGTGCATTGATGTTTAATGCTACTATTAATAAAAGGTAATATGTGATAGTGACAAAACAATACAGTTGTAGTCATTTTCAGTGACTTTAAAGATAGCTTCCCAGATGACCATTTTCTGCATGCTAGGGATGGGATAGGCAGTCTCATCTCCTTTGGGAGAATTAAGCTCTAGATCAGTGATGAGTCTTCCAAAGTCAAGTTTACTGCCACTGAGAACGTGGCCACTATCAGAGCCCAGCTGTAAAACTAAAGAGAACCAGGCATAATGAAATCAACTGTGGTAGCTCTCTGGCCTCTCTGCATCAACATAACAATTTCCAGATGCCCCCAGAACAGGAGGGCACCCTTAGTAGGTGCTGATGACAAATCCATCCTCATGGCCTGTTGAGTCTTTCAAGACCATCTATCTGAAACTTTCTCCCATATGTGGGATTCTGTGTTCTTAAGTTGGTGAGCTGCAGATTCCCCTCATTTTTATCTCTGTGTATACAGATCACTATCGTCATTGAGAGACATCAGGGGAGGCTACAAAAATATATTTGAACTTTCAAAGTAAGCAGGTTAACATACAGGACAGATATCAAGGCTTAATAATGGTTAGTCAAGGGGCCAGGCAGGATCACACAGGCTAGAAATGCAAGAATTTCCATCCCAAATAGCAAAAGTGGTTTCTGCATTTCTGAACTTCAAAAGGATCCTCCAAAAGAGGGTACAATCACTTGCAGCCTGTATTAACAGTGCATGGGAAGCACCTTTAACAAAGATAGAGATTCCAAAAATGAATCATTTTCTAATCTAAGAAAAGAAAATAAAATGAAATGTTTATAAAATGCTCCAATTCTTAGATGTTAAAGAACCCAGTCCTTTGTCATTTTTTTTAAATGAAGAGGAAATACATCTAGAAAAAGCTGTGAATTTTCCTAAATCACAAAGTTTTGAAACTTGTTTCCACCACATCACAACATTTTCTCTTTCCAGAATTCCTTGGAGGAAAAATGTAAGAAAATCTCGTGGTTTCCTGCTTCTTGATGCCACTGGCTACTCATGACTAACTGAACATATGGCTGCTATGGTTTTGTCTTGGAGCCAGTTGAAGTAAAGGAGCAGCGAGTTGCTCTCTAGCACGGAAAACAATCTGCAAAAAGTAATGGGCTGTCATCTGAAATATTTTCAGATGTTGGCTTATGAAAGAGAGAGCAAGCTGAGAGCCGGCTTTAGCTCGGATTTTGTTGGAGGGCATCACTGGCCTCTGATGCTTATAAATCCCAGATTCTGTTTATTCACCCATCATAGTGGTTTTTACTTCTTGACCCCTCCCCCAAACTCCCTGAGGTTGCTGGTGGTGCTGTTGGTTTTTTTTTTTTTTAAGTCCCTGATGCATCTTACATATTTCAGCCTCTCGAATGTCCATTTTTTGACTAGGCAGCAAATGAGATAAGGAAGGGCTGTTAGTCCAGCCAGATCACGTCTGGCGCCTAAGTGTGAGTCTGGGCTTTAATTCTTCCTGCCTGAGAGAGGTTTCCAAGCAAAGCAGCCATGCTGGGATTTCCTTCAATTTTTTTTTTTTTTTTCCAGAGACAGGGTCTCACTCTATCCTCCAGGCTGGAGTGCAGTGGTATGATCATAGTTCACTGCAGCCTCGAACTCCTGGGCTCAAGCAATCCTCCTGCCTTAGTCTTTGAGCAGAAGAGCTGGGACCACAGTCTCATACCACTGTGCCCGGCTAATATTTCCGGTTTTTGTGGAGAGAGGGGTCTCGCTTTGTTGCTCAGGCTGGTCTCTAACTCCCAGTTTCAAGTAATCCTCATGCCTCAGCCTCCCAAAGTGCTGGCATTACAGGCGTGGGCCTCTGCGCCCGACTTCCTTCAATTTTTAAAAGGACTAAAGATTTAATTCAATGGACCTTGCCCTCGCACTATGTAATTGAGAATTTGCTTGAGAAAAGATGCAGGATTAACCCAGAGGTAAGGAGAATGCTGGTGAAATCTAAAGAGACACTACAAAATGGCAAGTGATTGTGAGCACAGCCCACAGCTGAGTGTTTTACCACCCACAGTGTGCACCGTCCGGCCCATGGTATGAAAACACATGAGGTCATATTTACAGCTTGGACAAAGATTCCAGGCTCCAGGGACCAACAGTAAGTGGGCACAAGAGTAGTTTCTAAGCTAACTGTGCTTGAGTTAGCCTTTTGTTTCCTATTTCTCCACAATTAGATACCCTGTTTGCATTATTTATGGTTGCTCTGAAGTAACTGTGAGAGTTATGAAGAGTAAAGACATTTAAAAGTCATACTAACCTCAACTCCCAGGCAAAATGTGCTAGAATTCCCCTAAGAACTCCTCTAAGATGTGGACATTATTTGATGAAAGGGGAACTTGTGGCCTGCAGGGTCATGATTCCATACAGACAGTTTCTCTGCAAAAGCCAGCTTCCCTACCACCCGCCTCCCTCATCTCTGATGGCTTGCAAGAAGAGGACCTTCCGGTGGTGGCATTGTAGGATGGTGCACCAGGAGGGCCCATAGCTGGTAGGTCAGTGTCCATTTACCTGACACATCCAGGTGCTCCAGATTGGGGCAGAGGGACACCACGTCAAAGACGGCCTCGTTGGAGATATTGTAACAGCCTGAGACTTCCAGTCGCCTCAGTTCGGGGCAGCACTGGGCGATGGTGTACAGCCCTCGGTCTGTGAGCCGCCTGCAGCCACTGACAGTAACGGTTTCCAGCATGAGACACACGTTGGGGGTGTCCTGGCAGAGTCTGCGGGTCAGCACCTTGAGGGCGCGGTCCACGTTGATGGTCTCGCCCGTCAGGCGGATAGTCCTCCAGAGCCGCGGGTCCCAGGCGAGGTTGTACCAGCGGCGGCACACGCGCGCGCAGCGGCACAGCTGGTTGGTGGGCAGGAAGGAGAAGATCTGCACCATGGAGTGGTCCGGGAGCCGGTCTATGCTGGCCTGCTCCTTCTGGGGTCTGGAGGCGAGCCGGATGAGCGGGTGTGTGAGGCGGGTCGGGGGCGGGGAGTGGACCATGGCCACCGTCTCCCCAGTGATGGAGGACGAGGAGGTGGACGAGCCCCTTCCATTCTGAAATCCTGGCAGATTCGGTGGACATATCAGGGCTGGGCTGGGCGTGCTCAGTGTGCGCATGCTCAGGTCGGAGTCTGGCAAAGGACAGAGAACAAAGGGTTAAGGATGACGGCCTCAGCAGAGCCCCAGGGAGGCAGCAAAAGCACCGGTTTCTTTTTTCTTTTTCTTTTTTTTAAAGATCTTTCGCCCAGGCTTTAGTGCAATGGCGTGATCTCGGCTCACGGCAATCTCTGCCTCCTGGGTTCAAGCGATTCTCCTGACTCAGCCTCCCGAGTAGCTAGAATTACAGGCATGCGCTACCATGCCCGGCTGTTTTTTTTTTTTTTTCTTTCTATTTTTAGTAGAGACGGGGTTTCACCACGTTGGCCAGGTTGGTCTGAAACTCCTGACCTCAGGTCATCCGCCCACCTTGGCCTACTAAAAGGTTGATATCACAGGCGTGAGCCACCGCGCCCGGCCAGCACCGGTTTCTTTCTTAGAGAAAACATTCATGGGGGCAACATTCTCATTCCACAGATGTCCTCCCTGGGCCGACTCCTGTCAATGCCATCCCAGAGGACCAAGCACATGCACGAGTCGCCCATTCCAGAAAGCGCCAATTCCCCGTGGTCTACACCAGGAGTGGGCAGACTGCAATGAACAGGGTCAGGTATTAAATACTGAGGCTTTGCAGGCCATGGGCTCTGTCCCCCTTGCAACGACAAGCCCTGCCATTGTTGTGCAAAAGCTACCTCGAACAATGTGTAAACAAAGGAGAGTGGCTGTTTTAATAAAACCTAATTTATAAAAGCAGACCAGCTGGACCAGTCCCTGTCCAGACCAGGGAACAAATCCCATCAGATCATAGTTTGACAACTTCCAGTCTACACAAACTGGCATTATGGAAAGGAAACAACTTCAAAGTTTCATTGTTTCTACTCTGGAGAAACCTCATATATTAGATACACAAACTGGTTTACCTCCCTAATTATATTTTGGTTAAATGGGTGATTATGTTGCATTTACAAATGAGGGGAGTGAATTTCAGAAGACAGGAAGACTAGTGAGTCGGCACAGAGGACACCTGCTGCCCTGGCGCACTTCTCCCAGTATCTGTTTCCCTTTCTGTTGATAACAGTGCTCCAGACTACGGGAACCAATGAAAAGCCTCTGCTAGATCAGGCGTTACACAGGGCATTTCCGGTCCTTGGGTAACTGGAAACATATTTATTTTTTCTTCTTATTAACAACCTCCCCTATGCATTTGAATAGTATGAGCCATATTCTATTCCTTGGAACTAGAAAGATCGCTGATAAGGACACAGAAGTTTTAACATTTGTGAGGAATTAAGAATTCTTTAGAATATCACTTCAAGAAGTAGACTCATTTCCCCTCTCTTTTCCTCAATATACACAGAAGAAGAATTTAGTCTTTCTCTCTAAGTACAATTGTATATTATAGATTTTGGATATATATAATATCCAATGTATATTATATATATAACCATATACATGGTATTATTACCATATATATCCAATGTACATATTATTAGATTCAATATAATATAAATTTTATATCTATATAATACACATTGATATTATATAATATATAATATAAATAATATACCTAATAATACACATTAGATATTATATACAATATACATTGGATATAATAATACATATATACATTGGATATATGTGGTAATAATACAATGTATATTATATATAACCACATACATGGTATTATTACATATATATCCAATGTATATATGTATTATTAGATTCAATATAATATAAATTTTATATCTACATTATGTACATTGATATAATATATATTATATAAATATATACTTAATACACATTGGATATTATATACAATATACATTGGATATAATACATATATACACATTGGATATATATGGTAATAATACCACATCTATGGTTTTATTTAGGAGGAAATGTATTTTCTCTGTTAATATATTTATATATTTTATATATTTTACACACATACATATACCCACACACATGAAGATGCTCAACTTACCATGGGGTTTTTGGGCCATAAGCCCATCATAAATTTAAAATATCCCAGGTTGAAAATGCATTTAAAACATCTAATCTGCCAAACGTCATTGCTTATCCTAGCCTACCTTAAATGTGCTCAGAAGGCTTACAACAGCCTACAGTAACAAAGTCATTTAACACAAAGCCTATTTTATAATGAAGTGTTGAATATCTCATGTGACTTATTGAATACTGTACTGAAGGTGAAAAACAGGATGGTTGTATGGGTACTCGAAGTACAGTTTTTACTGAATATGTATCACTTTTGTACCATCATAAAGTCTGAAAATTATACTTACGCCATAGTAAAATCAGGACCTATCTGTATAGGTATGTATCTATAGAGATATACATACATATCCACACATAGAGAATTTATCTTCAAAATACATATTTCCTCATCTATAAACTAACTGAGCTGAGCTAAACAATTTCTAAGTCATTTCCAGCTCTAATTATAGTTCTCAAGATTTAAACAAAAGCTCTATGCTTACATGCTTCTGCATATTTCATACCCTGGAAATTAACACTCATACTATCTACTCAAAGAACTTCTAGCAATAACACACAAGACAAAAATTTCTGAGACCTGAAGTCTCCCCCTACTTGTAGTTTTCTTACACATTTCCTTTTTCTATTGCTGCAATTTTTCTGTTCAGTTACTTCTTTATAACCTAACACTGAGAATGACTTATGTGTGTCCACACTCTGCTCATGGAGCATCTTTGAATCATGTGCTGCCCCAACCTCCCATGTTAGCCTCTTGAAATACAAACACCTTTCTTGAGTGGCTGCAAGTGTCATCTCCTTTAAGAAGTTTTCTTCCTGTCTTTGAGATAGGATCCCTTCCCTTGTGAAGTCCCCACCATTTGTTATACAGACATTTGTGAATTTATCTTTTCCTAATGGTTGATTGTATTATTTTTAACATATTAGCATTTCTATTCAAGACATTTGCGCACCTGCTATATATTTTCCTAATTTTGCATCCCTCCCTGTGTCCCCATATCCTTTGCCATATACTTTGCAGTTCACCTCAGAAAGAGTATATTTCCTTATTCTAGTGACATAGGGCTTGTCCATGTGACTTCCTTTGGCAGAAAATGTTAGAGGAAAGCCATTTGTGCAGTGGGCTTGACCTCTCAATCTTCTACCATCACAATGAGGAGAACATGCCTCACTAGCCCCTTGTAGGCATAGTGGCTCATGCCTATAATCCCAGTACTTTGGGAGGCTGAGGTGGGTGGATCACTTGAGGCCAAGAGTTTGAGACCAGCCTGGCCAGAATGGCAAAAACCTGTCTCTACTAAAAATACAAAAATTAGTCAGGTGTGGTGGCACACCTCTATGATCCCAGCTACTCAGGAGGGTGAGGCACGTGAATTTTTGGTTGAACCCAGGAGGCAGAGGTTGGAGGTTGCAGTGAGCCGAAATCACACCACTGCACAGTGAAACTGTAAAATAATAATAATAATAATAATGAGAGACCCATGAAGTAGACAGAACTTCCTCCAATCTGTACCTTACAGACAAGCTCAACCAAGGCCAGCTTGGTTCAGCCAATACCCAGATGAACCACAGATGCATAAACAATGTTTTTAAACCACTGAGTTTGGGGGTGATTTTTTACACAGTATTACTGTGGCAACAGATGATGGACATACCTTCTATGACACTAAAAACTCCTTTGAGACAAGGATTACGTCCTTTCCCTGTTTCTGTCCTGGCAGCACCTGTCATTGTTTATGATATATAGTAGGTGCACAACAAACATCTTGAATTGAATGGAAGTATATGTTAAAAAATAATTCTAGCTTGGCATGTATTTTTCTATTCCAGGTAGTATACATGCTGCATTTTAAATTATTCATAAGAAATTGTACTTCCCTTTGGTAATCATCTAGAATGAATAGCAAATCTTTAAGGAAAATCTCAAATATAAAACAATTTTGGACTTCAAAACTGCCATCCAAGTTACCATGGTACCCACCTTCATTATTATGGGTACTCAGAGAATTATCGCGGAAGCCAGTGTTTCTCGGAGGCAGGTGAACAACTTATTTCGGGCCAGGAGGGAAAGACAATCCTAGGCTCTCAGCTCTCACATTTTAGCAGCTGTGAGGGCGCTGAACTCCCTCTCCTGCCTGCCTAGGTTTTATTCATCTTGAAGGAGAAGACACTACCTGCCTAGAGGTGGGCCCCTGAGGAATGAAAGATACTTACCCTGTGCGTGGGGGCAGAGGGGAGAGGGTGAAGTGGATTTCTAAAACCCGCCACTCTTTCATACTCCAAGCACTTAGGAAAGCTGGATGCCTCTTTTACCAGAAGACACACCAAGAGTCTCTGATTCCTTCCTGCTATTCCTACAGCAGGCCAACAACCTCAGAGAACTTTTGAAAAGATGATACAATTTGTCTCAATTAAATAAATAGCACCTGATAATTAAACAGATTATAAAGAATGACAAATAAAAACTACAGAGATGTATACCTAGAAGCTGTCACAAAATATCTTTTCTTGATATTTTCCACAGACACATTAAATGTATTTCCAAATTTAAAAATATACATATATATGTATTTACATTTGAAAATAAATTTTATTATGGATAAACTATGCAGAGCTTGTCATACAATGTGTTTTACCCTTTGGTATCAGGAGCTATTTACTGTCACGAGATATTATTATAAAGAGTACCAGAATATGTCTCTATAGCAGGAAAATAAAGCATGGCTTCAAATTCAAAACAAGGACTATTCTACCTCCCAAGTAGTATATTTCGTTTACAGAAGAGAATGTAGAAAGACCAAGTGTACTCTTTGTATACAATTCTTTTCTCCTATGTTTCTTTCAGAAGACTGGCAGCTATATGGACATTGGCAATAGCTGCTAATTCTTTTGAGAGTAGAAACAGGGACCCTGATGCAGGGGTACCAGCACACACACTCAGAGAGGAGAACATCAGAGACAAATATTAAGATGACAGAGGTAGAAGAATGCTGTAACTCTCCTCCTGGTCTTATGATGCTGC